ACTCCCCCTTTCCTCCCTCCCCGCGTATTCGCGCCCCCCGCTGCGAAGCCCTATCATCTAGCTAATCTATCTCCTTCCAAAATACTTTTGTATCAATCTACCTTTAAAAAAAAAAAAAAAAAAAAAAAAACACGACGAGTCCCTTTTCGAAATTTCTTTTTGAAATACGTTGGAAATAAGTAGTTAATTTTTCAAATATTCTCGAAATACTTCCTCTCTGAAAATTCTTTACAATTTAAAGCTTTTCTTTTTTGAAATTTCTTGAATACTTTAGAATTAATTCATCTCTTTTTGGAATACCCTTAATTTCTTTCCAAATTCCTTGGAATCCTTTTGCAACTCATAATTAGCCCTTTTCCGAAATTTTGAATTCACATTTTGAACTTTGAAATTAATTACTTATTTTTACAAAATTGTCTCAAATTTTCTTTTCTCTCCCGACATTTCTTTAAATTCACGTTCGGAATTAATCCCTCCCTTCGGAATTAATTATTATTTTTCCAAAATTTCAGCAAAAAATTTTAAAATTCCACCTCCTAATTCTTTTTCTATAATTCGAAGATATTTCGAAATTTCATGTAAATAAAATTTGAAATAAATTCAATTTTATTATTATTTTTTACCAATATTGTGAACAACGAATTTTCTAAATCTCCCCTTCGGATCCTTCAAAGTTTTGTTCTACCCAAATTAATTTTGAATAAATAAAATTCCAATTGGAATAAATTTATTTATTCAATATTAATTCCCTACTTTCCAAAAAACCTTGGCAATTATCTTTATTTTTGAATTTATTAATAAATAAATAAGGGATTCCCCCCCCACCCTCCACATGCCACCACACCAAACCAAGAACTCCCAACGTGCCACCGCCGCCGCCGCCGCTGCTGCTGCATCCTCCATACCCATTCAGGGCACGTCCTCCACCCCCTCTTCCCCCGACATGACCGCACCCTCCATCAACATGTCTGACATCCGCACCGACTTAGTCGATAGCATCGCCCGCAACCTCGTAGGCAAACAACCACCAGCAAATACTGCCACCACCGACCTCTCCGCCATCCTCCACGCACTCAACACCCTCCGACACAGCCTCTCTCGACGACATAAAAGCCAACATGTCGTCCATATGCGACCGCGTCACCACGATTGAAGGGACCATCCCCTCCATCACGGTCGTCACCACGGTTGCACCTCCCTCCTCCACAGCGCAAACCACTCCCTCCTCCACATTGCAAACCACTCCATCCTCCACAGCGCAAGCCACTCCCTCCACAGCCGCCTCCAGCAACACCCCCCCGCCGACCTCCTCCACACCTATCACCTCTACCACCACAT